GAGGCGCTGCCGGGTTGTTCCCGCACCACCGCTCCTCTGCGCTACTGGATCTACCCGGCAGCGCCCCAGCTGCTCTGCCCCAGGCGTCCAGATTCAGCCGCTGTTAAAACTGATCAGCGGCTTATTCCAGGAAGCCCAGGGCAGAGCAACTCTGCCTCGGGCTTCCTGTAGTCAGCCGCGGGTCAGTTTCAGCAGCGGCTGAATCTGGATGCCAGTTCCGACTTACATACAAATTCAACTTAAGAACAAACCTACAGTCCCTATCTTGTACGTAACCGAGGGACTGCCTGTACTTTCCAGTGCAGCAATTAATAAAATATGTACAAAGAGCTGCTGAAATCTAGACCAATGTCTTCCAAGGAATCTAAAGACAAACTGGCAAACAAGAAGAGAATTGCCTGTTTTTGATAAAATGAAACCAGAAATATAGAAGATTATAACTTTAACAATAATGAATAAAATTAAAATTCTGCCTCACTGAAATAAATGTGAGCTTTGGTATTGACTTAAATAGGGAAGAATTTCACAGAGGAAATCACACACACACCATTACTGTGTTAGAATATAAACACAAAAATTGGTAAAAACAGTACTTCTCAGTAATAATATAATCTATCTATATATTTTAGAAATGTACACCTGCTTGTCTGTGTGTGAATCTTTGTTCAAAAACACCTCCTAAATATTAAGAGCTGGGACCATCAAATTTAGAAGGGCGGAGGGCCCCGGTAACCAGGGAAGCAAGAGAAAGCCCTGCCAGATTGGACCCACGGCCCAGAGCATCTCCTCATCCCTCAGCCCACACTCTTGAATCCCTCCACCACTCCAGCCTCCTGCTCTGCTCCCCCACTTCCTCAAGGCCCTGCCATGACTCCTACCCCTCCTACACCATCAGTGCCCTGCCCTGAAGAACCTAGGCAATGCCGGGTAAGTCTTCTAGTGTAATATAATATAAATCAGCTTTGCTGGTTCAAAGCCAAAGCAGTAAAGTATTTGCAATAGAAAATAATTCAAAGATCTATTAATATATTTGGATACAACAGACCTGTATTTGGCTGCAGTTGGTGAAGAAATCAGACTCTGCTATGTCCTCCTCAAGTATCTCTAAAAGAAGGAGAGGAAATGTCTAAATATATAGTCATTATATTAAAAAGCAGTGTGCAAACATTGAAGGTACTTTTACATAAAAAGGTTAAAATATTAGAAATGTAAATGCAGGGAACCCTAATATTCTGAAGCACTCAGAAACTATTTTAAACTTTTGTATACTTGGAAATTTATACATTCAGGTTAAATTGTAATAACATGCAAATACTGAAGACACAGAGACATGCCAGGTCATGCATAGTCTTTAAAATTCCAAAGTTACCCAGGAGGGTTTTACTGGCAATTGCTCCTCCAACAGCATGGCCCTATTCAACAGGGTGGACATGAAGCTGCTGGGACAGGAGCCCAGGTCCTTACATGATACTTAAATACCTAAATTCAATTTACATAAATGGAAATAGGTGCCTGAATACCTTTGAGGATCTGACCCAATGTGGCCTGAAGAGCCTACATCATGCAGATGCTCCTCACACTACATATATTTTCTTATCTTCCAGCATTCCCAACACATGTATATTAGCACCTGGCCGACATGCAGATCACTAAAGATCAGGGGTGAGCTTAGTCTTGCTTGGGTGCTGGATCCAGCCCCTCAAGCATTTTTCTCTAGTCTGCCCATCTGATTAGCAGAGGTGCACACTTGCATCCAGCAATGTGTGTTGCCTCTTTCCATCATGCTCTATCCTGCAGTACATCTGATCCAGAGATTCCTCTGAGAGCTGTGCAAAAGGGTGGAGAGAGGAGATTGCTGAAGTCAGGCTGCCCCCTTGCCTTTCTACACTATCACTGCAGAACAGGGATTGAGGAGACGGGAACACACAGAGGAGCTTCTCCAGTCTGAAGAACAGATGATAAGTGACTCAGAGGTGCACCTGTCTTAAGAGGCAGTGCCGTGTTTCTCAGAGTTCAGTGCTTATGCTCTGTCTCTCTCTCTCTCACACACACACACACACACTCCCCTTCCCCCACTCCATCTCTACAGCATGGAGAAGGGGAGAGACAACAGAACAGACAGCTTTCCCTGTCTTAAAGAAATAGCACATTACTTCTGTCAGAAACTTACCTAGCAGCCAGCACACACACACTCTGTTTCACTGTCACTCACACCCAGTCTGTGCCACATTATGTCTGTGCTACACACACACATAGTCACTGTCTCACAGAAGACTACCATGCACACTCTCCTAGTCTCTGTTCAACACACTATCTGTGTCACTAAAGGTATGTCTAGACTTCATCCCTTTTTCAATAAAGGGATGTAAATTAGACATATTGAAAACGGGAATGAAGCTGGGATTTGAATTTCCCGTGCTTCATTTGCATAATGACAGCCACTACTTTTTTTTGAAATGGGGCTTTTTTGAAAAAAAAAGCAGTTTATACAGAAATCTGTCAGAAATAAAACCCTTTTTTGAAAGTTTTTGTAAATCTCCTTTTTTGAACTGATCCTGACAAAATCCCACTACAAAAACTCCCAAACAGCCAACTTTCTCCTTGGTGGCTATTTTTTTAGATCTCCCAACCATTTCTTAATCCATTTACTGTGTGCTGATATTGTGATACTGCATTGTGCTAATTTTTAATCAAAATGTCATGCAGCGCTAAGTCAAATGCCTTAAACAGTTTAAACATATTGCATCTTCACAGCTATCTTCATGAAAAAAAAATCTGTCTCATTGAAAAATGAAATCAAGTTTGACAACAACTATTTTCAGTCAAGTCATAGAATCATGGAAGAGACCTTTGGAGGTCATCAAGTCCAGCCCCCTGCCCAAGGCAGAACCAATCCCAACTAAATTAACCTGGCCAGGGGTTTGTCAAGCTGAGACTTAAAAACTTCTAAGGGTGGAGATTCCACCACTTCCCTAAGTAACCCATTCCAGTGCTTCACCATCCGCCTACTGAAATAGTTTTTCCTAATGTCCAACATAGACCTCACCCACTGTGTGCTGATTACTATTAATTACATTCTTATGCTTTAATTATTGATTTAATCCCATATAATCTTTTCCATTATTTTGCCTGGCCAATCAGCCTACAAGATCTGGGTAATCTCCCTTTTCAAATGTTATCACATCTTAAGTACCTGCCAAGTATTCCTTATTAAAAATTAATATTAGAAGACCAGAGACAAGCTCAGTGAACTCTTAAAGGTGCCTGTGTGCAAGTTTTCCGATACTGCAGATCTAAATATATATTTCTCCAGTCAATGGTTTTTAACATCCCCCCTGCTTACTAATCTTTTGGAAAGGATTTCATCGGCCTCATGTGACACAAGTACATGATCCTTCTTTCCAATTATAGTAACGCCACATTTAAAGTTGTTGTTATGTTCCTGAAAAATTCTACTTTAAGAAAAATGATGTTGAGCCTTGGCATTTGTTGTATTCATTTAGATGGAATAAATGGCCCAGTCATGTCCAACACGGAGCAGTGTAAAAGAGGACCTCAGTATGCTTAGTATCAGGAAAACACACTATTAACATGTTTTAAACCTTACAGAGAAAGGAACATTTGAACTGTAAAGTGTTAAAAGTTTTAATTTTAACCAGATTCCTTATTCCTTTCCCTTTAATCTGGAGAGAATTTTAGAAAGAAAAACCCCTATCCCCTCCCCCCAAAATAAATACCTCAGGAACATAACAACTTAAAATGAGGAGTTACTATAATTGGAAAGAAGGGTCATATACTGCGCCACTCAGCCAGGCTGACATGAGGGAGCCCAAACGGCAACTTGCTCCGCTTGCTCCTCCACGGCGGCCTGGCAGAGAGGTGCTGAACTCAGCCGAGTGCCATGGCGGAGGGGATGTGGGGTGGGACAGTGACGTTCACGGTGGAGAGAGAGTGAGAGGCAGGAGGGGGAGAAGACAAAGAAAGAGATGGAGAGGGAGGCAAAAGGTGGAGGAGAACTAAGAGAGAGAGGGGGAGGCAGTAGGAGGAGGAGAGAGAGAGAGAAAGAGAGACGGAGCAAGAGACCGTAGGCTCAGGAGAGAAGACGGATGTGGAGGATAGGTCTGAAAATCCTGTCTTATGACGAGCTAATTGGTTAGTTTCGAAATAACACTCTAGTGCAGACCGGAGTTTGGAGACCTGGCAACCTGGTACTAGCTTTGGGCTGTTCAGGGCGTTGCTTTTAGCTCCCTTTAAGAGATCATAGTCTTAGAGCAGTGTTGCAAAATATACATTCTAGGATGGCTGAACTACACTCTTATTAGATTCAAAGAAAATGGAGCAGGATAAGAAAAAGTAGAAATAAGTGGGAGAAAGAAAAAGATATATGTGGAGGGGAAGAAAAAAAGTCCAGTCTCATGAACCCCATCAGTTGTTCAGGATTTTGTTAAAGCTTGTAAAGATGGTGAGTTAATCTCGGTTGCTCTCTCTGGTCTGGACTCCTTTCAGGATTAGGATAAAGATGGCCCAGGGTTTCAAAAAGATTGTGTAGGACTGGAGTGACAGCCATAATAGTGAATTTAATTTCAGTTTATCAGTCATAATTTTAACACCATAGTTGCCTGGTGTTAATAGGCCTTTGGCTTGCACTAAATTCAATTGCTGTCTTGCATTTTTACCTTGGTATCATTTGCAAATTTTATGTTCCATTATTGATGAAGATACTGAATAGAATCTGTCCCAAACCTGATACCAGTGGTACCCCACTCATTGTTGGCTGCGTCTAGATTGGCATGATTGTCCGGAAATGCTTTTAACGGAAAAGTTTTCCATTAAAAGCATTTTCGGAACAGAGCGTCTAGATTGGCACTGATGCTTTTCCGCAAAAAAAAAAAAAAAACGATCGCCATTTTCGCAAAAAGGGACTTTTGCCTGAACGGGATCAGAATAGTATTTCCACAAGAAGCACTGATTTCTTACAATAGGAAGTCAGTGTTTTGCGGATATTCAAGTGACCAGTGTAGACAGCTGGCAAGTTTTTTCCAGAAAAGCAGCTGATTTTCCGGAAAAACTGGCCAGTCTAGACACAGCCTGTGGGTATGTCTACACTACAGCACTAATTCAAACTAACTTAGTTTGAATTAGTTAATTCGAACTAAGCTAATTCGAATGAGTGCATCTAGACCTAAAAACTAATTTGAATTAGCATTTTGCTAATTCGAACTAGCATGTCCACAGTGAGTGGACCCTGAACCGAAGTTAGGGCTGGCCGGAACCAGGACTTAGAGTGTGGAGCTGCTGCCTCAGGCTAGCCAAGGGCTGTGCTTAAAGGGACTCGACCCCCACCCTGGACAGGCAGTTCTCAGGGTTCCCAGCTTGCTGATCTACCTCCCAGAGGGACAGCAAAGCAGTCTTCTCTTGGAGTGCCCTGAGTGCCCTCACTCGGCACATCACAGCACTCGGCCATCAGCCCGGCTGCACTTGCCGCAGGCTGCCTTCCAGGAGGGTCAGTCGGGGGCTGTCAGGATCCAGGAGGCCCTGCAGGAGAGCTTCCACCCTGAGGTGCCTGCAGAGTCATCCCAGTCCTCCCCATCGGGGGCTTGTGCCCCATTCCTCCCTCACCTCCTTCCACTTACCCCTCCATAGCCCCCGTTCCGGATGTAAAAAATTAAGGACACGTGTTCAAAAATAGAAACTCACTTTATTTAACAAAACTGAGGGGGAGGGTGTATTAACCTCTGGGGAGACTGGGAAAAGGAAGTGGGAGATGGGAAGAGAGAGGGTGCGAGTTGGGAGGGGGAAACCTGGGAGGAGGGAGCTGGAAGGGGGAAGCCAGGGGAAGAAGGAGGAAGGGAAGTATCAAACTATGGTACGCCATATCTTCAGTACTGTGTTTTGACCTTGGAAAGGGTTCAGAAAAGGGCAGCTAAAATGATTAGGGGTTTGGAACAGGTCCCATATGAAGAGAGGCTAAAGAGACTGGGACTTTTCAACTTAGAAAAGAGGAGACTGAGGGGGCATATGATAGAAGTATATAAAATCATGAGTGGTGTGGAGAGGGTGCATAAAGAAAAGTTCTTCATTAGTTCCCATAATAGAAGGACTAG